GAGAAAAATTTACAAACAGAACAAATTTCCAATTCTGTTAATGTCAGTCTAGGTATTTGGAGTAAACCTTCCACTGAAGAGAACTGAAAAAGAGTGGATGAAATATTTTTTAAAATTCTTAAAATCATTAAAGAACTAATAATAGTGGGGAAATACTGAGCCAAAACTTAGGAGAAGACAACCAAGAAAAGTGTAGCACACAAAGGCACATTTTTGGCTTGAGGGTGTTTGTCAATTTGGTAGAAGTATCTTCAGTATTGAAACTGAGCTGCACTTGGGGTGAGCCTATAGGGCAGGGAGACAAAAAGCACTAGGCTCATCAAGGTAGGGACTCTAATGAACCACACCAACTTTAAGTTAGGACCCTGAAGTTCGCCCTCAAGTGTGAACTGGAAGTAAAAAAAAAAAAAAAAAAGTCCTTGTCAGACTTTCAGCCCAGATTTTTATCATTTGGTGGTCAAGAGAAACTGAGATAGTCTCTGACTAGTAATGTCTTCAGTCACCCAACAGAGAAAAATAAAAATCCTCTCTGGAGGAAGGTAACATTATATCCTATACTTAGGGCTTATATTATTCCTATACATATTTTTTCAAATACATGTTCAGCAGACAAAGATAACCAGACACCCAGGAAAACAAGCATTCATATGCAAGAATCAGCAGAAATGATAGATGATAGAAAAATAGACCATGAAAACCTTCAGGTGCTAATTGGCAAACTCACATTACACAAAATTGTTCACTAAGGCCACAGAAACAGCCAACCTTAGAAATTTCATCAGGGAACCAGAAACTATAAAGTGATATAGTAGATTTGAAAAAGAATCCAATAAAAATTCTAGAACTGGAAGATAAAGAATTCAAATGATGGATTTAACAGCAGATTAGATACAACTGAAGGAAGATTGCTGAACTATAAAATTTGTCAGAAAAAAAGTATCAAGAAGGCAGCTTCAAAAAGACAAGGTAGAAAGTGCGAAATCAAGAGTAAAGAGATAGAGAGGATACAGGGAAAACTATCTAATATACACGTATTTAAAGGTTCAGAAGGGCTGGGTGCGGTGGCTCACATGTGTAATCCTAGCACTCTGGGAGGCTGAGGCGGGTGGATTGCTCAAGGTCAGGAGTTGGAGATCAGCCTGAGCAAGAGCGAGACCCCCATCTCTACTAAAAATAGAAAGAAATGATCTGGACAACTAAAAATATATATATATAAATTAGCCGGGCATGGTGGCGCATGCCTGTAGTCCCAGCTACTCGGGAGGCTGAGGCAGGAGGATTGCTTGAGCCCAGGAGTGTGAGGTTGCTGTGAGCTAGGCTGACGCTGTGGCACTCTAGCCCGGGCAACAGAGCAAGACTCTGTCTAAAAAAAAAAAAAAAAAAAAGGTTGAGAAGGTGAGAGACAATATCTGAGGAGGTAACAGCTGAGATTATTTAGAATTGATGAAAGATGTTAGTTCATGGATTCTCAATGAATAAATGAATGCTCATTGCTCAATGAGTTCCTAGCAGAATAAATAAAAATAAACCCACACCCAGATACATGATAATAAAACTTCAGAAAACCAAAGGCAAAAATAACGCAATTTTAAAGTAGCCAGCTACCTTCGAAGGAGTGACAGATTGAGAACCAACTTCTCAGGAGCAGTGGAAGGTAAAGGCCAGGCAGAATCTATGTGCTGAAAGAAAATAACTTCCAACCTGGAATTCTATAAAAATATCCATCTAGAATTAAAGAAAAATAAAGGTCTTTTCAGATAAACAAAAATGGGAAAGGTCCCCACTAGCAGGCCAAGGCAAAAGCAAACTCTGAAGCAGGGTATGCAAACTTCTATTAATATAAAGAGCCAGATAGTAAATATTTCTTTCTTGCAGGCCTTACAGTATGGTATCTGTCACAACCACTCAACTCTGCTGTTGTAAGGGCAAAAGCAACCATAGGCAGTATATAAATGAATGAGCCTAGCAGTATTCCAGTGAAACTTTTTTTTGAGACAAAGTCTCACTCCATTGCCCTGGGAGGAGTGCAGTGGTGTCATCATAGCTCATTGCAACCTCAAACTCCTGGGCTCAAGTGATCCTTCTGCCTCAGCCTTCCAAGTAGCTGGGACTACAGGTGCCCCATGCCACCACACCTGGATAATTTTTTCTAATTTTCGCAGAGACAGGGTCTTGCTCTTGCTCAGACTGGTCTTGAACTCCTGACCTCAAGTGATCCTCCCACCTCAGCCTCCTGGAGGGCTAGGATTACAGGCATAAGCCACTGTGCCCAGCCCTTCTGTGAAACTTTATTCACAAAAACAGGCAGTGGGCTGGATTTGGCCTGTGGACTGTAGTTTGCTGAGTCCTGTGTTCTAAAGGATAAACTTCAGACAAAAGGGAAATGATCCCAGACGGAAAGGGAGAGATTTCAGAAAGACTGAAGGGCAAAATGGTAAATAAGTGAACACTGATTATATAAAGCTTGGTTTTAAGAAACATGTAGAACTAAAACATCTGGTAACAACAGCATATAACTTGGGAAAGGGGGTACATGGAGTGAGTGTTCTAGGTTCCTTGTATTAGCTTTCTGGGGGACGTATAAAGGTATTGATTAAATTAGACTTTGATATCTTCAGAGATGTATGTTGTAACTTCTAGAGTAACCACTAAAGGAATAAAAGTAAGATAAAACTTCCACACTACTACAAGGGGAAAAAATGGGATAACTGAAAATAAGGCAAGAAAGGAGGGAAAATTTAAACATGAAACAGGGTAAGACAAACAGACAAAAATAAGCTTTAAACCTAAACAGTAATTTCATGAATATACATGATTAAATGTTTCAATTAAAAGACAGTGAATATCAGACTATTTTTAGCTTCTGAGATCAGAGATCAGACTATTTTTAAAAACACAATTATATGTTGTTTATTTGAGATACATCTAAAATGTGAGCAACTAGAAAGGCAGAAAGTAAAAGAAAGGTTAAGAACTAAAATCTCTTCACTAAAACATAATCATTCAATAGTTTATTTCCTTAAAGATATTGTTTTTCAGGATAAGATCATACTGAATATGTAATGGTGCATCCCTCTAGGACACAGCATTTTGTACATTTTTCTATTATTGTAAATCAGTTTTCAAAGAATGAATATTCCTAGCATTTCGGATTGTTTGGAATTTTTTTTTTTTTGAGACAGAGTCTCGCTCTGTTGCCCAGGCTAGAGTGCCATGGCATCATGCCTAATGCCTAGCCCACAGCAACCTCAAACTCCTGGGCTCAATCAGTCCTCCTGACTCAGTCTCCCAAGTAGCTGGGACTACAGGCGCTTGCCACCACGCCTGACTAATTTTTTGTTTCTATTCTTAGTTGGCTGGCTAATTTTTTCTATTTTTAGTACAGATGGGGTCTCACTCTTAACTTAGGCTGGTCTCGAACTCCTGCCCTCAAGCGATCCTTCCGCCTTAGCCTCCCAGAGTGCTGGGATTATGGGTGTGGGCCACCTGGCCTGGCCTTGTTTGGAATTTTGAGTTCTCTGAATAACTTCAGGGAAACTATTTTGTCAATTACTAAAGATAATGTGATTCTAAAATTTTTATTGGCCCAATATGCATTTAAAGGAGTCTTGGGGCTATGCTTGCTATTTCATGTTAATTTTTTATTGATCCTGCTAATTTATTGAACCTTGTAATAAATTAGAAGTTCCAAGGCGATGCACATATAATTTTAGTGGAACAAAAATTTCTACCATTATTCCCTTTCAAAGTATCTTGCAAGTGCCTATGTCTCATCTTAAGGAATTAATATTTTACCAAAAAACTTTTTAAAAACACCAGGGAAAGGCTCTGGACTAGATATTTTCTGATAGCTTATTCTGCCCTCACAACAACACTCTAAGGGATGTATGGTTATCTCCTTTAGTCATGCGCGATTAAGAAATAAATTGCTGAAGGTCCCACAGTTAGTAATCGGCCAACAAAAGTTTTGTTTTTTCTATTTATTTAATATTTTTTGAGACAGGGTCTAGCTCTGTCGCCCAGGCTGGAGTGCAGTGGCGTGATCATAACTCACTGCAGCCTCCAACTCCTGGGCTCAAGGGATCCTCCTGCCTCAGCCTCCGGAGTAGCTGGGACTACAGGCCGGTGCCACCACGCCCAGCTAACTTTTCTATTTTTAGTAGCGACGGGGTCTACACCATATTGCTCAGGCTGGTCTCGAACCCGGGGCCTCCCAAAGTGCTAGGATTACAGGATGAGCCACTGTGCCCCGCTCGACCTAGGTTTTGAATCCAGGGCGACGGCAAGCTAAGGAACCCCTGGGCTTTCCCGTGGTCAGAGCTGCTGATACATATCTCTACAATTTCCCAAATACTGCTCACTTTTATAGTTTCAAATTTAGACTAAGAGCTTCTCGCTATGGTAATGATTAATCCAAATGGGGTGGAGAGCCTGTTTCCTAGTGTACTGATTTCAGGTGTTGTTTCCTGAACTTGACATATCCCAGTTCGGGAGCCTTAAAGCCCTGGAAGCACAGATGAAGGAGCATGGCCCATACGTCAGCACTCCCGGGCTCCTCCTGCCGAGGGCAAGGCGGCACCGAAGAAAAGGTGGCGTCTACACGATTCTGGGTGGGCCCCTGAAACCGCGATTATTGGTCGGTGAACATTCTTCAGGAACAGGCCCATATTAGCTACTAAGACTGCTAACCTCAGTCGAACTGACGACGGGCATGGTATCTACTTACTTTCGGCTCGGGCTAACCCTCCGGCACTTTTTGCTAATTGGGGTCTGGCTCGCCAGCACAGCGTGCCGCGCGGCCCTAACCGACCTACAGCCGAGACTCCGAGGTTTGGCGCCTCGGCCAGGTCCGGCTCCACAGTCGGTTAAGGAACCAGAGTCTCGCGAGATCTGGGAGGAAAGGGGCGGGAGACGCCCGCGTGCACGCGCCCGAGAGCCGTTAGGGTGGAACTCCTCCCGGGCGGGGCGGGCGGAGCGAATATAGTTGGACGCCAGTTGGAGGAGCCCCCGCGGAAAACGACTAAGCGCGAGGAGCGTGCGCGCTCCCGTCGCGGCGACGGTGGCGGCGAGCGGCGTCAGAGCTTGGAGGGGGGGGTTGACGGCTTCTGGCGGGTGGCGGTGTTGGAGGCGAGAGCTTGCTTAGCCCGTGTCGCTTCTGTCCCAGGAACTGGACGGAGAGTGAGGGCACGAGGGTCGCTTTCGGGGGCTGCTGCCTTCCACGTACACGTCGTCGTGAGGAGCGCAGCCCGGACTCCAGCAATCCCTCCGACTCCCTTTCCGCACGTCTTGAGGCGGCGGCGGCCACCGAGACAGCATCGCACCTTCCCCCACCCTTTTCCCTCATCCCCCGCCCAGAAGGGCCCGGTCTGCGCCCCACCCCCGCCGTCCGTCCGCTACGCCGCCGCCATGTCGGCGCAGGCCCAGATGCGCGCGATGCTGGACCAGCTGATGGGCACCTCCCGGGACGGTAAGTCTCTGCCGGGGCCCTGGGGGTGGGGGAGGGGATGGGCACTGAGAAGGGAAGGGGGTCCGAGGGCGCACCTGGGCGCGCGACTGTGGCTTGAGTAAGGGGCTCCCAGATTGGTAACACGAGGTCCCCGGCCCCGGTCCCATCCAATCAGGGCTTGGCAGGCGAGCTTGGGGGGCGGTGACAGTGCGGATTGGCGGGAACTGCTGCCAATGGGGTGAGGCAGGGCCTGGAGGCAAAAAGGAGAGTTTGTGCTTTTAATGTTGACTTGGCTGGGACCGAAGAGTCTCTATTGCGTAGTCTGGAGGCCCGTTTTGTTGCTGATTAGGTACCTGTGGACCGCTAAAGCCTCTGCCCCCTGATCTAATTCCTTAACCCAGAGCTTTGGGATCATCTCTCGCCGCCGTCCTCTAGAGTATCCGGAGAGAAGCTCCCCTCTTCCTCTTCTTGGGTCTGGAGGAAACCTTTACTCCTAACCTAGTCCCAGAGATGCACCATCGAGCCCCACAGAAACAACCATTTTTATGGAAAATCTGACCCAAACCATGGTTTCTTGAAGTGGGTGTGTTTGACCCCATTTTGTGAAAAGAAAAATGTTAATGGCCTGTTTTTCTGAGAGACCTCCATTTTGTTAAACAATTTAATAGAGGCTTTGTTCAGTAAATATTGACAAATGTTGCCTGTGCCCCAAATAAAACCGTTTTGAAAATTTGGTGCCCAGTGAAGTAGAATTGAGGGAAACAAAGGTCTTTTTAGGCGCTGAGGTTAGACTCTGTATAGAAAGACACTAAGTGCTGGATTATCCTTTTGTTATAAAGAGAATTTCTAAATGATGAAATACTTTTTGCTTTTTTGGTGATGACAATAATGTATTCTTTCAGATTCAACTCAAATCCATGCAAATATGGAAGAAAGGTCTAGTTTAGTACTTTCTCTCTTAAAAACAATGCAAGAGTCCTTGCTAGTTTTTATATGTTGCTTGTTTAGGCATATAGTTTCTTAGCCATTTAAATGCTTTTTTCCTGACAAGTTATTTAAATTGCTTGATTTAAGAGAAAAGACACATCTTAAATTTAGTTTGTAACAATTGCTCTTATAATTTACTTGAGTGCTTTGCAGCAAAATATGAGTAGATTAAAAAAAACTATTGCATTCAGATCTTTTTTAGCAATGAATATTTAGAATGGCTTTTCAGTGTTCACAATTGAGTTTTAATAAAAACCCACATTGGGAACTTTTCTTCGTAGAACATATAGACAGATGGTTGTAGACGGCAACTCTACTTGTGGTTGTGTAGAGAGAAAGGAAAGATTGGGAAGGAAATGAGTTTTATTTGCGTGTAAACCCTTGAAAGTTAGCATTAGCTTAAAAAGCCACTAGAGAAATTTAATGGTTATCGTTTCTCATGTTTAGATAACAATGGTTACTTTGTAACTGCAGCACGTCTTAACATTGCTCCTTTTCAAACATGAGAGAGGGTCTTGGGAACATGCTTCATCACATTTTAGCTAACAGAATAATCTTTGTAATAAAATTATAGAAATTATTTAAGGTTTACTGTACACGATCCTTTTAATCCCTGATGGATACCATTTTTGGTTATCTTCTGTTTGGATTGGATTTCCTCATTTTACTGGGAGGGTAGTTGGATCAAGGTAACCATTACCTGAGAAGTTTCTGAACTAAGCAGCCCGTCTAGTATTGCAAAGCTCAATTTAAAATATTTATATATATTTCTGTGTGTGTAGTCAGCAGAAATATGGATTTCTTAAAATCCACTCTGCTTTGTATATTTTTTTAAATGTATCTGTTACTGGATTTTTTGCCTTCATACTTAGAGGATTTATGAATGAACTCATAATTAGGAGTCCAGGATAATATTTAGTTGAAATGACTGGATTTTCACTGCTGTATTGGGGTCAGAAGTAAGAAAGATACTACTTTCAAGGAAAAGAATTGGATGTTTTTTTAGATATTCAAATTTGTTCTTTTATGTATGAAAGATAAGAATCAGAACATTCTTTTCCTTCTTACCAGATATTTAATGAGTTTACATATTTCATTTTATGGATTCAGGACCTTTAAATAATTAGGATTGTTCTTTTTTAGCATACAGTCAACTTCAAGTTATCCAGGGATAGGGGAACATGGATACGTCCCCTGAATAACACCATGTAATTTGAAACCATATAATGGGAAGCCTTGTATTGGACACATGAACAGCTTACGGGAATGCTGTTGGGTGTCTTTGGCACTAAGGTGGAAATGGGGATCCAGGAGGTGGGAGAGAGGTGGAAAAGGTAGGTGGGAGGGTATTTAAGGCAGCTCTGTTTTTTTTCTTTTTTTAACTCCCAGAGACCAACTATCAAGCAACCACTCTTTTTTGGTAGCGGGTCTCAAGGTGGCGATGACCCCCTCAATCCCTAGTGTCCTATCTGTAAAGGAATCTGAAGTGGCACAAGAGTTCTGGTGCTCTGGGAAAATACTGCTCTCCCCTTCCACGTCCCAACAGAGTTTTTAATTAGTTCCTTTTAAAACTCCTTGGAGATTTAAGTCTGTTAGTTAAAGTACCTTATCTTGAATTGCTTAAATCAGTTAATTATTTAGATTACCTAAACTTCACTGGAATCCTTAGGAATAGGAATTTTGGTAGCAGGGAAGTGGAGAGGTAACTTTGGATCACTGGGCACTTCAAGAGAGGACAGTCCTGGGTGAGTGGTGGAAGTGGGGGGCTTTGAACAACCAGAGGGCAGCATGATGGTGCTGGGAGGCTGGGCAGGGGATGACCAGGAGGTGGGAGAGGAATGCATAAGGGAGGTGGGAGGGCCAAAGACAAACTTTGCCTTCTTTGCAATTTTGCCTAGGGCCCTGGTGGTGGCAACCGCCTGTGTGCCACTGAAAATCGTGCCGATGCCTGGCATACTGCATAAATGGAAGCAGGGTACCGCGTGAGTTGAAACATTGGTCACACTATATAAAGTTTGTATATGTGAATCAGTGTAACTCATACCCATATAACTGGGGGTCTGACTGTATTTGGATTTTTCTGATAAGGCATCATGGGCTAAGGAAAAGAGCACTGGGCTGAGACTCAGGAGACCTGGTTTCTAGCCCCAGCTGTACCTCTAATTGTAACCTTGGGTAAGTCACTTAACCTTTTTTGCCTCAAGTTAAGTCTATAATTTGTTATCTGGGAAACCAAATAATTTCCTATGTTATACTAAAAAAATGTTGAAAAATAAATAATTGTAAGTTTTTTTTTAGAAAGGAGGAACTATAAGTAGATATTAATGACTAGTATCTTTATCTCAAGTTTATGCTTCATTACATTTTATAAATACCTTTCTGTTTTAGTTAGCATTAATGGAGGGGAGAGGGATAGTTTGTTTTTCCTGAGCATATTCCATTGGAAAGCAAGGAGGAGCTACACAGGAAAATTCAAGATACAGTTTGAGAATTGTCTTATGTGACAGTTGGAGGAACCCAGTGTCCACCCACAGACTGTGATCATTATTGCTGTGCTGGATTAATTGCAAGAGTGTCCCTCAGCTGAAGCCCTTTGCCAACAAATGCAGTTTGTTATAATAAGTCTCTGGTCCTGATTCCAGGAAGGCCTGGAAGGTGTAAGAGATAGGAATTAAATAAAATTGAGGGTGTGGATTTAGTTTACATCCTAAACTTAGAAATTAGGGAAGTTACAGAAGGTAGTTCTTAGGGTTCCATATCTCTTAATTGCTTATACCTTTAATTGGGAGCAGAGACCACCTCTGAAAGGTTAAAACAGGCCAGGAACGGCAGCTTGCCCTCAAACAACCAGTAGGCTAAGAATGTAGCATATACAATAGAATTTTATAGCATCTTAGTTGTCCATGGTGGTTAAGAAATGTTTTGGGCGAGCTAAATCTTTCAGATAATTTTAGCTATCTTTCTAACTGTATGGTGTGCTTCCTCAGTTAATAAGAATATGTTAATCATAATATTTCTGCTGATCAGTTATATTGTGCAATAGTTAAAGTTTATGGGGTATAACATTGAAAGGATACTCATCCTGGGAGATATCCAGGAAAATACAGTTCAGAAAGTCATTTACCTGTTTCTAATTTAAGTTTAGTGATAGGACAGTCTGACATTGCTGCTTTTCTGAAAAATTATTGAATTAAAGACGGAAGTAGTATTTTCCTTAGTGGATTTTCTTCTTTATAAAATCGTCTTTACTGTAATCTGTGTTCCTCGACTTGTCATCAACATTGAAAGCATTTTCTCTTAATTTTCTCTCATTAACATAATGAACCATATTCATTTCTTGGTCAGTTCTGAGCCATTCTTTTATTCCACTTGGAGCATTCATTTTAATTGAAGGAGGCGGAGCCTTTAATGTACAAGCTCATATTTTTGAAACGATAATGGGGTATATCTTAGTCTAGAGCTTGGAAATTTTTTAACATTATGAGAAATTTTAGCAAATGTTAGGTTAAACAGTAGTTTCTCTCAGTTTTAATAACTATTTGACTTTATCAGTGTTCCAGGCATGTTCAAAACACTGAAAGCTCTGTTAGCACCTACGTAGTGAATCAGTTAAAAAAAAAAAAAGTTTTCCTCATTTTGTGTTTTGTTTTTTTTTTTTATTTTCTGATAGAGAGATGGGTCTAGCTATGTTGCCCAGGCTGGTCTTGAACTCCTGGGCTCAAGCAGTCCTGCCTTGGCCTCCCAAAGTGCTGGGATTGCAGGTGTAAGCCACCATGTTTGGCCCTCGTTTTGCATTTTGAACTCTGAATAATATTTCTATCTACAGAGCAGCCTAGAAAACAATAAAAAGTATCACCTCACATAACCCTGCATTATCCCTGGATTCTCTGCATTTGTTTAGCTCTCCCCACGTAAGCTGATGCTTCTGAGACGTTCTTTTACTTCAGGTGAAAAAAAATAAATCGAAACCATAGAAAAATCATTTTGTCTATCTCTGCATCAGCTCTATAAGGAAAAAGTAGTAGCTTTTAGTT